GGAGTTTGAAAAGTCCTATTTTTACTTTGAAATTTCAAAATCAGAAAATGAAAAAGGAGTTGTCCGGAGATAAAATAAACAACTTTTCTTGATGATGAATATTATATAAGTGGGCTTGCAAATAAAGATTTATAGATCGCTGATTACAAAATTAATACGTCGCTAATTTAATTCGAAATCAGAAACCTGAACCTTACCCTACAGAAATAGATGACATATTTATTTTTAAATAAGCAATAGATCTTCAAACATTTCTATTTCATTTTCCGATCCAAAGTTTTGAGATAAGAATAACTAATCAGTTAGAAAATTTTGACAATTTGTATTACCAAAAACATTATCAAAAATAAAATCATTTTGGCATCAAATTATATTCAGAATCTTAAATTATTTATGATTTAGATTATCTCAAGTAACAAAAGTTTGATGAGTTAGTAAATACGTAACTATAAATTTAAAAATATAAAAAATAAATAAATAAAAAAAAAATAAATTACAAATATACTTTAATACGAAAAAAAAAATAAAGTTAGGTTACACCTGATCTTATTCCATAGTAGGCGATGGCTAACCACATTGCAGTGATGATCACGACAGGTGATACGTAAATAAATTAAAAAGTTGGTTTACTGTATTTGTTTCAAAAAAAATTTTTTTGTTTAGATGCCTCGTCGATACAATAACACTGCACGATGTCGTGCTAACCGTCGTCATCGCCGTCGTTTAAGAAATTCTTCTTCGTTTCCTCTTTATGAAGCTTTAGATATAGTTGGAGATGAAAATAGACGGTAAAATATCAACTGCGTATAACTTTACTTAAGTAAAAATATTAATTTCTTTTTTGGTTCAGGTTGGTACAACTGGTGCAACAACTAAGAGAACGTATCAAAACTTTGGAGGAAGAGGTAGAAAGACGTCAGGAGAAGATTGTTGAAGGAGTGGAAAATCATTGGAGAAGAGAAGTTCAATATGAGAGGTTGCTAAAGGAACGAAATAGGTTAAGGGCACGAATAGAAGATTTGGAAGAACAGTTACAGGAAATAAGAAGAAACAATAATAACGATAATAATAATAATAATAATAATAATAATAATAATAATAACAATAATAATGGTTATAGCAACGGTAATAATAACTGCAGAAGTATTATTTGTGGATTTTTAAATTTTTTTCGATAAAATAAAATAACTTTATTTTCATTAAACTTTGTGCTTCGTGACGTCACCCGTGTGAATCATCAAATTCTTGAGTCGTTAATATTATTAAAATTACGCGAAATAATATGAATAATTATACGATTTTATTGCAGTATCTAATATATATATTATCGAATCATCCATCAGAATCATTCGAACATTTATCAAAAAAAATTTGCCTCAAACTTACTCGTAATATAAATTATTTCTATTTGAATTTTATAGAATCTATATAGAATCTATTTTTATGTCCCAAAAAATTATCGTAATGCCAGGCAATTGTAAGGGGTTCTTAATTAACTTCTTTAATGTGATCTAAGATTTTCAAATCAATGCGATTAATTGAAGCATTGTTAAATTTAGTCAATCAGAATAGCTCTGTAAAAAAAGGTGGATTGCACATTCATATTTTATTCATTGAAATGAACTCACATGATTAGTTTATTCGATTTCTGACCATATACAGTAATTGGAGTTTTGCTCTGATCTATCAGGTGAAATGCTTGAAAACATCTTTAATTTCATAAAAAACATATGTATGCTCGTATAC